TAATAATAATAATAATAATAATAATAATAATAATAATAATAATAATAATAATAATTGTAGTTAAATTTTTATTTTGTGTATGAATTTAAGCATTAGTTTTGGTATTCACTTTTTCACAGTGGATCTTTCATACATTTTAAATTACTTAGTAGTTGTGATCTACATTTTTTGAAAAGTTTATCACAGTCATTTATTTATTGAGTGTAATAGGAATGCGCCATTTTGTTGAATTTAGTCAGTGAATATCCATTTTGTAACCTGTAGAAATTAAAATATGCTATGAATTATAGTACTTCTTATGTATTTGAGTTAATAACATAAGAACAAAACTCTGATGAGTTTCATTGTTAGTTTCCTAATGCTTATAAGAAAATTTTTCGTTTGTGATGCTGTTGGTAGACACAATAACCACTTTTCAGGAAAGCACAAGTTCTCTCTGTTTTTTGTGATATTAAATCTTTAGTATATTTTCTAGTTTGCTAAATGTTTGCTTTGTTTATTTATTAGTAAAGTTTTAAAGTTGATCATCATAATTCTGTTCATTTATTTTCTTTATTATATTCTAATCAGTGGGCAACTTTTGCTCGTATTTTACTTCTTTGAGTATGTGTACAACAATTTAAGTTTTCAAAAGAATGTTTTCTCTCATTAAAGTTGGGAAAGTATAGGTCTAGTTTTTGACTTTTAAGTTCCTTTTCATTAAACGGTCATGCTTGAAAAAATCGCTGTATTCATTGTCCATTACTATGTCATTCTATTTGGAATTGAAAGTATTTCAGAGTGAAATTATCTTTTGACCTCTGATAATTAACTCTCAGCAAGATTATTCCTGCATTATTCTTGCAGAAACTGAAGAAAACAAATTTTAAAGTAATTAAGAAAATCAATTTTTTTAGAATAGTTGAGGACTGTTGCAATTCTCTCTGAAATTTGTGTGCTAATGTTTTTCGTTGGATCTGTTAGCCTTGTTTTATTCTCTTTATTTTACTTGAAAGTACTTGTATAATTAGTAAACAAATTTATGTAAAGCTACAAAAAATTGATGACAATATTTTCATGGAAAAACAAGTTTAGGGGCTCCCTGATACTGATAAAGTTATTACTATTTTTTTAAATTTCTTGTATCTACTATGTAGTAATACTACAGGAAAAAGTGTCGCTTTTTCAACTGTAAAGTTTTCTGGGTCCCTTGGTATCCCCCTTCCCTTTCAAATTTTTCTTGCTTCTGAACATTGTAAATTACTTCCTCTTATATTACAGTGGAAATACTTGCAGGCCTCTCAGCAACTCACTTGATGTGCTATTTTCATGTCACTTTTCCCACTCTTTTCAGTCAGTACTCACTACACTCACTTTTTTCTTTTCAAAAATTGAATTATTAATAATTTCATTTTTTATATATCATCTTGGAAGTGTAATAATTTTTTGGAAACCGAGCTAGGGACGAAAACTCTAGTGGATGAAATGGATGAAAACTCTAGTCGAGAAACTGTTTATACAATTTGGAAAGAAAGACCAAACAAGTGAACAGGCTTACATAGTCAAGGTAAGGGGGGGAGTAAAGAAGGACATGAACAGTGAATTTATGAGAAGAGCATATGTGTGGGAGGGGAACTAACAGAAGGAATAATATGTGCTTGGTGGCCTGTAGATGCAACGTTATTATAGTCACTAGAAGAAATTGATTGCCCACGGTGCCATGTTAGTATTTGACAATTTATTGCTAGTTTCAACAATAATTGGATGATTACTTTTACATTTCCTTTTTAGTTATCCTGCCAAATATGTTAGGTTTGCTTAATTTGCATTTGAAATTTGAAGATAGACGAGTTTAAAGTAACTCCTTGGCCATTTTGAGTTTGATCTAACTGAATATGAACGTTGCTAACGTTGAAGATGTTCTTTGAATATAGAAATGAAGAAAATTAAACATTTTGAATTTTGAAATCAGCATTGATTTTAGCACCAATTTTATTTGTTCAAAATAGTACTATCACTTTGTGAAATTTCATGGGATAAATAATGTTTATATAGGTAAATTATTGTTTTGCATGTGTGTAATAACAGTGCAACTTCATACCAAGAGGTAGGTAACAATTTTGTTTCTATAATTAGTATTTTTGAAAATTGTCAGTTTTGAAATAAACAATTTTTGAAGATTGCTGGTTTAATTTACTTCAATTTTATCACAAAAATTTTTTTTCATGAAGTTCTAAGAAACCTGGTATAATATAAGGGTAGGTTTCAATGCCAAAGTTGCCCTAGTAGCAATAATTAATCAATTTTAGATAAATGATGGATTGCTGGATTTGAAACTTGCCCCCCCTCAATTGTGAACCTTTTATTTTATGTGTTTTTAATAACATTTGATAGTTTTCAAACACTTTTGTTATTGTTTGAGTTTTACGTTAAGAACTGTGTGAATTAATGTAGTTATGAAAACCATATTCTTAAATTATTAGTTTTACATCTTAAAAAAATCAATAATTAATTTCTTCATATAAATGTAGTAACTTCACATTTTTTCCCATAATTACTATTTTTGTACCGCAAACCACACTATTTGAACATTTTTAACTTCATCAAACCATGAAAGGCCTGGTTTTGTAAGTCCTTGATGTTGAAAAAGTTTTTTTTTTATCAAAACTTCTTTCTGTCTGTTCATAACACTAATTCCTAAAACATACAAGGATTTTCACCAAAATGGATATTCTATGAAAGATCTGACCGCACTTGAGTCCTTGTGAATTTGAAACTGATTTTCCAATTTTTGGGGGTACTTTACACAAAGCCCCTAGAACATTTTCAAAATTGACAAAAAATAGGTCCAAAATAACTAGCTTTAATAGAACAAAGTGCACATATAAAAATGCCTCAGTTCCAATTTTTGATAATGCTTGTGAAATTTTGAAAATTCAAAAGTTAAAATTTTCTTCCCTCTCCTTTTGCAATATTTTTGCTTCAAAAAAATACTCCCAAGATCCATACCGATCCATCACGAACCATACCAAGTTTTTTCTTAATATTTTTACTTGAAATGAGGAGTGTTCGCTTAATAATATGGCATAGGTCTGATTTTCATTAAAACTTCTGTAATTTCAAATATAGTAAAAGTGAAAGTTTTGTGACCCTCTCCTAGAACTATATTATTAATGTTGTTCATTTTTTCCTTAATGCAGTCTATTTCTCAGTACTAGATTTTGAAATCATTTCATGTAGACTTTTTAACATTCTTGCTTTACTAGTAAGTACTAAGGCATACTACAGAGGCTTCTACTTACATAGTATCGCAATCATGCATCGGAAATCAGCAATTTTTTGACAGGAAAACTCTTATTGTTGGACCCCTGGAAGGAAAGGATTGATAAATCAGATTACTTCCTCTGACATATTGTGAAGTCAGAATTCATGTTTTGAGGGTCCTTGATACTGCAAAATCGAATGAGACCAAAGTCTGTTTGTCCCTATCTAGTCCATCCTTTTGTCCGCCTCTCTGTATAGTTGGTCTGTCAAGTTTTTGAGAAAACTTTTTTGATGGGGAAGTGAAGTCTGTGTTTGTTTTTTTTAGTTAATTTTTATTTAATTTCTTTATTTTTTAACGGTTTGTAACCCTTATGAGAATATTGCTTGAAAAATTGTAAATTCATGCAGTATATTGTTGTTGTTGTTGTTATTATTATTATTATTATTATTATTATTATTTATTTACTTTCCTATTCATTTCTCTTTTATAAAGCAGTTCATTGTCAATGATAATTCTAAGTTTCAGAAGAGTCTTCTTTGACAAGTAGAATCTTGTATATGAACAATGTGTGTCGTAAGTCAGGGCAGTTTTGTGTAGCATTCGTAATGAATAATGCTTATGTAACTGATCAAATTATAGAGATACTCTTGCAATCTCGCTGATGTGGCTACTTCTCTCAATGACATGTTCTCAAATATATTCTATTTTTTTCTACTTTTAATATACATTTGTCTCCCTAACCAATTAATGTAGAATTTGTGGTAGACAACACATGCTCCATACAGGTTTTCTGAAGATTCTCCTATTGCTCTGGTATCATTCCATTTCTCCATCACTGTTTGCCACTGTCATCTATTCATTACATCATAAGTCATGAGCCTGAATGAACTCAGCATTTGAAGGGACCCCTTAACGTCAATAAATTAACAAGAATTTGTCTCAACGTTTTTGACATTGTAGTTCTTAGAGTATTCATCTTCGTATAGGTAACAATATTATTGCAAAGAAGGAATAAATTATTTCTCTAATAAATGAAATGTCAGTCAGCGGTGTTAAATTTCAGATTATATTTGCATACCAAACTTCCGAATTAAATTAATAGAAGCTGTAAGAATTGGTACAAAATGTGTAAAGATTTGACAGCATTGTGCACTGAAAAATAGATTATTAACTTTGTCACCAGAAAAAGAATTAAAGGTGTAATTTAGTTATGTGGCAAACAATTTGCAGAGATCATTGCAATTTGTGGTGATAAAACTCCTTAAACATTATGATCAAACTGAATTGAATTCCAAGTTCTTCTGTATGAGATAGTTAAAATCTTTTTGGGTTTGTTGAAAGATCGAATCTTTTTGATTTTGTTGGAGGCTAAATGATTTCTAGACCTAAAAGCCAGGTGATGTGGTTAGCACTAATATCAGCAGTTTGAACCTCTGGAAGATGACATACTGTATTGTAGTTCTCAAGTGTGAGCCTTGTAGTCCTTGTCTATCTATATTCATCCTAATTGGAACACACCTCACTTGTGATTCAGTAAATATGCTATTTTGGTGGTTCTTTAACACATCAAAAACAATTCCAAAATAAAGCTTATATCAAGCCCAGAAATAGGATATAACATTTTAAATGGGTGCTGGCCTAACAATGTATCAATGACTGTTGG